GTTCCACGCCTAGAATCTGCAGCGCAGGGATGCGAGGCATTGGGCAGCCACGTGGGCCGCGGGATTCCGACGAGGGGTGGGTCGTCCGAAGCAACTCAATACGGGAAGTCGCATTCCCATGGGGCCAATTGACCCTGAGCCTGACGCAGGCGGACTCTCGCAAGATCCAAGCAGCAGGCTCTATTAGAGCCAGAGGAGCGCGGGAACGTGTGCCGGCTTCCATCGCATCTACAAGGCACCCGGGGTCATGTCCACTCGGGCCTCCACAGGACGCTTGGCCTTGGCTCGGCCACTGTATCTGGTTAAAACATAGATCCTTTAGGATCGTTGTGCAGTGAACCGCAGCCCCCAGCAGGTTTCTGAGTTGGATTCAGTGTAGACTTTCCCACCTCTCCCGAGGGCACAGGGGCAGAGAGTATTAGGGAGGGAGGGTGTCTTGGACGCCTCTCCCGCTCAGAGCCCCACAGGACCCCTGGCAGCAGCGCAAAGCGGGGCCGGAAGAGGGCCGCCCCGCCCCTCCCGGTCCAGGCCCAGCCTGGCTGGCTGCGGATCAAAGAGCCAGGGCCGTCCTTCTCGGCGTTCAGATTCTATCTGCGCCAGCTCAGCGGGGCGGCTCGGCCTCCTACCTCACGACTGGAGTGCCCACTTTTCCTCCCTTCCGGGAGTTGGGGGCTGGGGGTTACTAGTGCTCAGTTTGGCGACGGAGATGTGGAGAAGGTCCTGCCCATTATGTTCCCCCAGTCTCCGTTTCTGGATGTGAGCTTGCTACTGTCTCACATTATCCCCATTGGGCGGTGGGGGTTGGGGGCAGGTTCCAGCAAGTCTTAGCCCAGTAGGGAGGGGAAAGGGTACAGGAGGAGGGGCCCATGCCCCCCCCCCCCACTTCAGCTTCTGAGGTTATAGGATCTGGCTTGGATGAGCCTCCTTTGGGAAAGCTGTATGGGAAGATGAATCTGCCCAACTCAAAGGCTTTGGGGGTCCTCGTGCGTTTGAGAGTGATCCCAGCTTAGCAGGAGCCTCCTCCAGGACAAAAAGGTCCCCAGACCCATGAGTGAACATAGAACAACTGGGGTTGTTATCTCCAGTCCATGGAGAAAGGAGAGAAGTCAGGGCAACAGTGAGGTGGTTTGTTTTTCTCAATAAGGCTGAATTTTTTCAGCTTAAAGTATTAACTTTTAATCAGAGATTATGGATTTTCTGCTTTCTTGGTGTAAAAAACAGCTTTTCTTTGCTAAAATAATGGTGAAAATTGATTTTTTAAAATGTTCTTATTTGGCAAAAGAAATACTTGGCCGTTCTATTCGCTCCCCCACCCCAGATCTCTTTGGACATTTTATAGAGCTGTGAAATCCCAAAGTCTGGGAACCACTGCTGTACAAGGTCATGGCTTTAGTCTCTTGCCCTGCGGTGTGGAACCAGGGGAGGAGGCAGGTGAGCGGGGAGAATAGGGAAGTGAGGAGAAGTAAGGCAGGGACAAACCAGCTGAGTATCAGACATCTACAGCTACACTGAAATTAGCTTGAGTGCCTTCTAGGGAGAATCGACTGTGTGTGTACCTAATCCGGACTCAAGCTGTGGAGAGGGGAGAGACAGTGGAGGGGGTCCTGTTCTCCAGGGGTCACTGAGAAGCTGAGAAGTTATGAGAGCCAAGCTTGTTGGTGATTCATCTACACAGACCATGGGCAGAAGGAGCTCAGATATGGTGAAATCAATGTGGCTGGGGTGGTGAGGTGGGCTTCGTGGAGGAGGCAGACTTCATCTGGACCTGGAAAGCTCTCTAGGGCTCAGAGTGGTAGAGAGTTAAAGGAGTTCATGCTTGTCCACAAAGGGCAGAAGGCAGGTGTGGCCCTCAGCAGCCCCTTGTCTGGTTGGCACTGATTGCATCATCATCGTCATTATTATCATCTTCTCAATGACTTCATCTTACTGAGTGCTGTGTGTCAGGCATCATGTCAAGAGCTTCACACACATTATCTCATTTAATCATCATACAAATCCTATGACATAGGAGCTATTATCCTCATTCATGAACAAGGAAAGCAAAGCTCAGACAGGTTGAATAAGCCACCTAGGATCTCAGAGCTTGAAGTGAGAGTATCAGAATTCCAAACCTTGACAGTGGCGGGATCCTGAGCCCACACTCTAACTACCACACTCTAGTGTTCCGTCATGACCTCTAAAGTCCCGGGGTGGGGGGTGGGGGGTGTGGTTCTTATCTGCTCTGTGGTTAGTGCAAATGCTGATGAATGAGCTGCTACTAATAGAGTCCTGGCTTTCTGGGTGGCTTATGGTGTGTGAGGATTGGGGAATCTCCCTGCTTGGTCCATATAAGATGGCTGAAGCCCTTTGCTAGGCAGGAGGGCCCAGAGCATCTCCCTTGAATCACACTTCAGTCTGTACCATCTCTCCTCTGGGCCCACACACAGTGACTATGGGCTTCTTCCACAGAATGGTGGGTGAGCTCTGCTGCGGCTGCCCCTCTGGGGGTGACCAGGGAGTTTCCGGGTGAGGGCCAGAGTCTTCTGCAGGGAGGACCCAGACTCTTCTGGACTCATGATGTTCAGGTCAGAGCTGAAGATAGCATGAGTCTTCATCTTCATGCAAACAAACCAGGTGGACTTGTGCTCTCCTCAGAGGCTAGAGATAGGACAAAGTCAGAGCTCACAAGGGTTGAGGGTTTGAGTACAAGAGCACCAGCCTGGATTTAGGCAGGCCTATCTGAGTTTCCCTGCCCTACTCTTTACCAGCTGGGGGATTCCAGACAAATCACTGACCTTCCCTGGGCCTCAGCTTCCTCCTGGGTAAAATGAGTATCACATCCAAGGCTGCCGCGCACTGAGTGAGATTGAGATGATTTCCGCACCCTGGAAAAGAGCTGAGTACAAGGCCGGGCACATTCCATGCGCTCTAATAAATGGGTGCTCTTGAGCTAGACAGTTTTCGGAAGTTGTTAGGCTAATTGGCTCTTCGTGTAACGTCATGTAAGTCATCTAAGTGTTCTCATGGCCCGGGCCCACCTCATCACAGCTAAGGCTAAAAATGTACTTTTCCTTTCCTTTTCTTTTAAGTTCCTTAACATGAAAGGCCTGTGTGAACTCTATGACCTTTTCTAATGGGGAGACCCTTGAAATGTCGTGCTTCCAGAAAACAACTCAAAGGAGCCCCAGATGGGTTTGGTCAATTACAACGGGGAGAGGTTCGGAGCAGCGTGTCTTCCTGCCTGCCAGCCCTCCTGGCATCCTGCTGGGGCTTACCGAGTGCAGCCTGGAGGCCTGGCTGCTGGCTCTGGGCAGGAACACTTTCCGTGCAAGCCTCCTCTCTCAGGGCAAAGCCTGGCCACACGTCCTAGAGGCAGACTGTGGTTTGTTACTAGAAACACAGTTTGCTCTCTGGAAACTGTGTAGTTTCACTGTATGTTTGTGTTTGTGTGTGTGTGTGTGTGTGTGTGTGTGTTCTCAGGTAGGTGGCTGTGGCCTGCAGAATGGCAAAAACACACAATTCTGTGGTGTGACTGCTCTGGATCAGGTACTAGGCAGCTGCCTTTAAAATTAAGCAAGGGGGTATCTTGCTGGCTCAGCTGGTAGAGCCTACAACTTTGGATCTCAGGGTTGTAAGTGGGAGCCCAACATTGGGTGCAGAGGTTATGTAAAAATAAAATCTTAAAAAAAAAGAGAGAGAGAGAAAGAAAAAGAAAAGAAAATTAAGCAAGGGGGCACCCGGCTGCCTTAGTTGGTAGAGCATGTGACTCTTAATCTTGGGATCTTGAGTTCAAGCCCCACGTTGGGTAGAGAGATTACTTAAATGAGTAAATTTTTAAAAATAAAATAAAAATAAAAATCATTTTTAAAAATAAAATAAAATGAAGCAAGAAGGGTTTGGGGTCATTTCTTCCGTCTTTATAACCTTCCCTGGGTTCTCCCCCCACCCCAATCCCTAGACTTTATGCAATAACTGAGAATTGCTCTTAAAATAAAAATTTAATGAAAAAAATTTAATGATAAACCTGGATATTAGCTAATCCTGATGACACCCCAGGGAAGTTTGGTGAAATTGGCTTGAGGGGTGGTGGTGCGATTACAGAGAGCTGCCCCTCAGCTTCAGAGGGCTTGTTACGGCAGTTTCCTGCAGGCTAATGTCCCACAGTGTGCCAGCCACTGTTCCCAGCGAGTGGCGATGGTATTCGCTCACCAGGAGGAATAAATCATCCTGGGTTTCCACAGGAAAGGGTTTGGACTCAGAGGCGCCAATGTGTCAGCAGCAAAGGCAAGCCAGGAGTGGCTGTCATATGCCAGGCTCTGTGCCATCAGAGTGAATGGGTCTTCAAAGAGCTTGGTAGTGGGAGGTCTGTGTCCTGGTCACTGTACCACCCCCTGACCTGCTGGGTGAACTCTGGTAAGTCCTCTGCCTTCTCTGGGCTTAGTACCCCTTACCTAGTTTCAGGGATGCAGTGAGGAGCCCACAACAATGAGACCAGAGGCGAGAAAAGCAGCCTCACAAAGGCAGCAGGAAGTGGGGGACACTGAGGCCCAGTGTCCATGTGGGAGTTGCCTGCAGTTTCACAGAGGAATGTATCCATATTAACTTGTGTTTGGAT